TGGGGAGATTTACCCTCCTCCTCGTACTATCCCCTTCCCAAACCCCCGCCCCCCTCCCAAGTTTTTTCCCTTTTTTCTGTCCCCCCCCAGGTTTCTACCTCTTCTGCCCCCCCCCAAACTTCATCTCCAGTCCCTTACATTTTTCCCTCCCCCTTATTTTGGGGTACAGCCCAAATTACTTTTCCCAATCTTTTACTCACCCCCTCCTCCTATCCCCAAAATGGTTTCCCATAAAATCTTTGAATTCAGAAACACTTGAAGCCATTTCAAAATATATTCCCGGGAGACAAACCTTCAAGGGACACTGATTCGATTTCCCGGGTTTCCTTTCTCTTCCCTTCCTCCATTTTCCCAACAACCCCTTTCTTGGGCAACGTTTCCTTTCCTTTTCGCAAATTGGGAACATCTTCCAATCCCCACCACACTTGACTTTTCAAACCCCCTCAAGCCCGTAGTGCCTTTCCCAAACAGATTCCTGATATTTTCTTCATCGCCAAAAAGGCCTATTTACGGGGGAAATACCCCGGGGGCCTCAGGGGAATCGGGGTGAGCTTCAGATGTCCCCCCGGGGTTTTCCCCCCTGTTGGGCTTGGGCTTACAAAAACCCAAAAATTTAAACCACTGGGGGCTTTTTTCCCAAACCTACCCTCAGGCAAATAATTTTTTTTAAATTTTTGGGGAAACCTTTCTCAGATGGGCCTTTTTAATAAAAATTTGCCCTTCTTCTACGAAATGTATTCCGTACGCCCAAACTATTTGTCCATACCTCCTGAAATTACCTCCCGGCCCGTTCCACTTGAAAAATTTTTTTTTCCCCAATATTTTCTTTTTTATCTCTCTCCTTCCGGGCCCATTTTCAATCCCAAAATTTTTCCCTTTTCCCTTGTTTAAATCCTTACCAACCCACCCACTTCTGTTATTTGGGGGTGTTTTTAATGCCCACCTTTCCTCGGGGGGGGTCTCATTGTGCCCTACTTGGCTTTCAGTTGGAGGTTTTTTCTTGCCCTCACCCCCTTTCCATGTTTTAAAAAACGGGTACTCCCACCCATTTTGATCCCGTATTTCCATACTCCTTTTGAAATCGATCATAAATCTGCTTTTCCTCCACTGCACTAGACTTTCACCTGGTCTTTTCAAACCAATTTACAGACAGCGAAATTTTCCGATCATTTTTTACTTCTCCTTCCTATTCACCCCCTTTCCCGTACCCCCCTCGCTGGCAATTTTGATGGGGCAAATTGGATCTTAAACCACACCTCTACGGGCTTTTAGTAGGTTCCTTTTTCACCCCTCCATTAAAGGGGGCTCCTCAAAATCTTCTCGACATCATTTTTAATAAAACCGCAGCTTCTCTTCTAAAACCCCAAACCTCAGGCGGGCCCTTTCTCAGAAGTGCGTCCGGGGGGTTGGCTCCTGCTTGTGCTCGGGGGCAAAACGTTTGAAACGTGCTGGCATGGGGCAGGTACCGGTAAATAGCCCCCTTGGAAAATTTTGGGGAATTTTAAGCAGAAGCGGCAAATCGCCCCGGTCATCCTAAAGGGCAAAAACGCACTTGTTGGCGGATATGTTTCCACCATCCCCTCGCTTCTTCATGAGTGCGGGTCTGGAAAAAAGAGGAAATTGATTTGGTAAATCCCTCTCCTGCCCCGGGCTCCTTTTCAAACGGGTCACTGGTTTTTTGGATATAGAAAAACCCTCTCACGTTCCCCATTGAATTTGGCACCCCTCGGGTTTCCGTTTTTCCCGGGGGTTTCCCCCCCAAATGCCCTCGTTTCTTTTCCTAAAAGTTGCCAGAAAAGTAGTCCCTTTGGGGACTTTTTCTTCCCCTCGGAGAAAAAACAGTATAAGGGCCCTTTTTAACACTTCAAGAACGGGAAAGGGAAAAACCCCGCTCTCGCTTGCCGACATCCGCAGCGGGGCCTGATGACTTTCCAATTGAAATGTTACAACTTTTCCCAATCGGTCCCCCCTTGTAGTCCTCTTACACCTCTTCAATCTTTTTTTGGGCAAAAAGGAGTTTTTCCCCCAGCGGGGAAAATTTCCGGCCATTGTTCTCCCTTTTCCGCAAACCGGGTACTAAAAGGACAGATTTCCTCCCACTATCGCCCCACCCCTTCCCTTTCAAGTGCAGTTTTCAAAGTGATGGAACGCCTCGGGGAAAACGAAAGTTTTTAAAGTGGTATTTTTGAGAAATCAAAAACAGTCTCTTCTCCCCCTAGTCAATATGGCTTTCTAAGGGTTTTCTACCATAACCCCTTACTACTTCCTTGGATACTTATTTCGTTTAAAGCCTTGCGAATAATCACTCAATTTTTTCCAAAATTTTTTTTCCTGGAGGGAAAGGGATATGACACAACTTGGGGGTAAAAATATTTGGGCCCAGGGCCCATTCCTTAGGCCTTTCCCAGGAATCTACCATCCCTTTCCCTTTAAAAACTTTTTAACCCACAGAAATTTCCCGGGTTTGAATCAATAAATTTTTTCTTTCCCGGGACTTTTTGTCCAAGCGAAGGTGTTTCCCCCAGGATGTGGGTTTTAAGCACAACACTTTTTTCTCCTTGCAAAAAAATGATTTTTGGGCCCCTGTTCTTCCCCCCAATTTTTTGGGCACACCAAAGTTGAAAGACTTCCCCGATTGCTTGGCGGCCCTGAATGTCCCCCCTTTTTGGGAGGTTTCTCCTTTCCCGCATGCGGTCGCCGTGGGTTTTTTACTTGGGGCCCCACCCCATGGGTTTTAAATTTTTAAGTAAACCCAAAAAAACACCAAATTTAAATTTTTACTTTGACGCTCTTTTATCCCCCCGTCATCCTTTTTTGGGCTCTAAGGCTTTCCCATCCCCCAACGTGATACAGTCCCCGGTTTTTTTTTTTGGGGCCCTTTTCTTTTTAACAGTCGTTAACCTGGGAAAAACCCCACATTTCCTCCCTGAAGGGAACTTGTCCCCAGCCGGCCCAAACCTTCTTAAAACCCCCTTTCTCATTTTTTCCCTTGGGGGGCCCGAACGTCGAACCTGCTTCGCCAAAATTTAGCCCTTTGTTTTAAAACGAAACTCGATTTTGGTGACCCAGATTTTTCCGCGGGGCCCCTCCCCGCAAATCCTCAAACCTTAAAATCCCATCCATCACCAAGGTTACGTTTTTTGCCTTGGTGCTTTTCGCTCTTCCCCTGTTGAGAGCCTCTATACAGAAGCAAAAGTTTTTCCCTCCTTTTCTGATTTGCCGGATGCCCATTTCCTTCGTTACTATGAACGCTTCCCCACGATCTACCAATTTCCTTTCCCTTTTTAGAATGGCCACCGATATTAGTAGACATTTTTTTATTCGTTCCCGCCCCTTTTTTTCTCCCTCCCTTTTCCCCTTTGCCTACATTCAAATCTTTCTTCCCCCTTTATTACCACCTTTTTAAAGTTTATGTAGCATCTCCATTTCCTTGGGGCCCCCCCGGGAAGTTCCGCTTTTCGGGTCTGTTTCCCTTTCTCACCTTTCCCCTTTCTCGAAAGCTCAAATGCCTTTCGGGGCTTTCCCCCCCTCTTTTTTTTTGATCACTTCCATTCCCCCTTCTCATGCCACCGCTGGGTACACAATGGGTCTAAAATCTTCAGACGGGGTCGGATTCGCGAGTGTTTTCCGGGCAGGGATCGTCCCAAGGGGATTTACTACTTCAGCTAGCATTTTTTTTCTGCTGAACTGTATGCCATTCTTGCACACTTATTCTAAATTTCTCATGGGCCGTGTCATCAATTTTTAAATAGTCTCAGACCCTTAAATGCTCTACAAGGGTATAAAGAAAATTTGATACATCTCATCCCCCAATTTTTTCCTACCAACTTTGGGTACCCTAAACTCTAACCCCAAAAATAAAGGAATATTGTTTTTTTTTTGGTTCCCTGGTCTGTCGACGTACAGGCAATTTAACAGGGAACAAACTGCGGGGCGGTCCCCATAAAAAGACCTAAACCAAATTTCCCATCGAGGTGTTCCATTTTTTGGGCCCATTTTTCTGGCCCAAAAGCTACCCCCCCTTCGCACCCCTTGGCAACAACGTTGGTCAAATTTTGCTCGGAAACAAAATTCATTCTATTAAACCGAGCATAGGGTTTTCCCGGGCCCCCGGGCTTCTTGTCATCAGTGCCGAAATTTGGGGGGACCCCCAAAAATTTTTCTCCCCCTTTGCATTGGCCCAAAACCCCGTCTTACTCATGGGTACTCAGGGGAGGGACCCGTTTCCCCCTCTGTGGCCCGGTCAAGTTCCAGTATCGAAAAGGGCCCCAATTTTTTTTAAACTTTCCCTTTTCTATCCACCCAGACTGCGAATTTACCCCTCCAACGTCGTCTTCGTTCTAAATACTCTTTTCTTTAAACCCTTTCCCCTTTTTGCTGATGGGCCCTCCTTTAATCCTGACTTTTCCATTGACTTCCCTTTACAACGACCGATTTAAATCCACAAACTCTGATGAATTTCTTTTCGCACTCCCCCCCTCCCTTTCTGGGTTTAGTCTCTTGCTGCCCTTTTAAAACCCTTTTTACCATCCACTGCCCCGCTGTTTAAACCTAACCTGTTGCTCATCCCCCTCCCTTTTGGGCCCCCTGAGGGCCCCCAATTTCCTTTTCCCGCCCCTGCAGCGCTGTATAGTCCTTTTGGTTGATTTGCGCTTTCCCTTTTTATTATAATTTAAAAATAACTGGACCTGTGGGGTTTTACCCCGAGTAACCCCTAGAGATCCCAGCCCACCATCTTCTCTCCCCTTTTTGCCTATTGTTAATTTTTCCCCACCAACCCCCCTCAAAACTTGCAGATATTTTTTTATTATAAACAAAAAATAACCACTAAAAACCATCGCTTGCAAATATATATATGCTGTATAGCCCTTGGGTTTTTGCGCTTCCTTTTTTATTTAAATAATAATAATTGCAAATATATAATATCCTCCCCTCCAACATTCACAAAAAAATTTCCCCCTTATTCCAAATCAAAACAAAATACCCCTTTTTTTTAACAGATTGATAGCGACAACTTCCCCTCGCAAATTTAAATTTGATCTGCGTTTTTGGTGATCCCTTCTGGTAAACCCCAAAAAACCTTTGGTGCTTAATATTCAGGGATGATGACCCGTGGGGCCATAGTCCCGCGGCGGGTTTGGAAACCTTTCCACTAACCATGCGAAGACAAAAAGAGTCGGCAGTTTCTTTTTTCAAAAAAAGGGCAGTAACGGGTTTTTTTTTTTTTTGTAGTGTTGAGAAAGAAAATGGTGTTGACATACTGGCTGATAAAAATAATGAAAAAGGACCAAAATCGTGTGGGGAACACTATCCTGTAAGAAATAACAGAAACCGGGAAATAGGAATGGAATTAAGTCAGTTTTTTTTTTTATTTTTTGGAGGGGTGGGGGTTAACCTAGGTTTTTAAAACATATTTTATTATTTTTGGGTTTAATTTTTCGTAGCTACTTAAAGTTTAAAACCCGTCTGTTTTTGGGGTGTACGACCACCTAATTGGGCCCTTACAGGGGGCGGGAAAATCCCCCTTCCCGGGGCCCGCCTCCACACTGACAGGGTACTGGGGCCCTCCCCTCCCTGACCATGAGCTTTATCATACCTATCTACTTTTTAAGGCCTGCCCCACTTTCATCACTTGCTAGACTATTTCCCTTTCCTTTAAAAACCCTGGAGGGTGAAAAATACTTCCCAACATCCCCTTTTAAATCCCTCTGAGTCTTTAACTTCCAATTTGAATCCCTTGTTTTTGTGTCCCAAAATCTGGAACAAACCCGTCTTGTCCACCTTAAATTTTTTTCCCACAGTAAATTTTTTAAAGGGCGTTTTCATGTCACCCCCCCGACCCCCCGGGCCTCCAGTGTCGTCAGACCGATTTCCCCTTTAAACCCTTTTTTCGTAGGACATTCCCCCCCCAGCTTCCCCGGAACCCCGCCTTGTTTTAAAACCTTTGCACTTTTTCTAATATCTTTACATGCTTGACCCGGGGTGGGTTCCCAAAATTGTACTGGGGGGTACCCCAAATATGGGCCTCCCTACACAGTGTTTTTGAGTATTTAACGATTTTCCCCCCCGGGGTATCGGAATGCTATTCTTTAGGGTTTTCCAGGGACCCATATCCGCAGCAGTTATCTGGGTTAAAAGTCTGGGTTCCGGCCCACGTTCTCGGTTTTTATACTCACCCCTAGAATCCTTTTTCCCCGATGAATAGGTTTTTCAAATTTTTTTTGGGCCCCCCCACCTATACCGTCGTGGGCTTCTTTTCCCTTTCCCAATCTTTATGGGGTTTGCATTTGGGGGGGTTTTTTCTAGAAACTAGTTCTGGGGCCCACGTGTCCCCGCCCCGTCCACTTTTCTTTGTAACCTGTCTGATCCCCATCTGATTTAATTCTCCTCATTTAAATTTTACATCATCTGCAAACAGGGACCCCCCTGAGTCTATCCCTTCCGTCCCAAAGTCATTCACATATACCAAGAAATACACTGGTCCCCAAGGGACAGACCCCCGTGGGAACCCCCCCCCTCATCACAGGCACCCCCTGTGAAACCTCATCACGTAAACCCAAAACCCCACTGTTGCCCCCCCAAACAGGTATTCCCCGGGGTCCATTGCAGTTCCCTTCCTGTTATACGTGGGCCGATCCTTCTAGCTTTTTGCACTAATCTCTTGTGAAGAACCCGTGTCGAAGGGCCTTTTAGCAGTCCCCAAAAAAATGCAAACAACCCACCCCTCCCCCCTCATGTCGTTAAAACCCTTTTCCCTTAAATTTCAGTAAAGGGTTTTTGACACAGGATTTTGCCTTCCATGAATCTGTGGGGCTATCATTTATAAACCTTTTTTCCCCTCCAAAGGGGCTCCACCACTTTTCCTAATAATTTTTCTCCAAGACTTTTCATACTATACACTCAGTGACACTGGTCTATAGTTTTTTTGCTTCCCTTTTTTGTCTCCTTTCCCAAAGTGGGGACTACATTTGCCTTCTTTCCATACCTCAAGGGATTTTCTGTAAAATTTTTTGTGGACTTTCCCCCAAGTGGGGTAGCCTACCCTGACAAACCCTGTTGAAAACCGGGGCTCTGAGGGGGGTTTCCTCAGCCTCACAAGGGCTTATAGGAAGATTTTTTACAAATGATTGATGTTGCCCAAAAAACTCGCCTGCATGCACGTATAAAAGGGGGCTAACTTACTTTTGGGGTTCAAGCATTAAAAATGGGTCTTCACTTCCCTAAGCTTTGCCCTTAAAACCCCTTTTGGGGTTCCTCTCAAAACCACTGCAAACCCGGCCTAAATTCCTGCAATAATTTAATCCCTTTTTTTAGTGAAACCCGCCTGCACCTCAGAAATTCCTATAAACCCAAGAGGGTGGGTTTTTCCCCCCATATAACTAAAGCAACCGAACACTAGCTTTCCCGACTGACGAGAGACCTGGTATTTTCGGGGTTTTTTCCCCCCGCTGCAACACAGGGGCCCCCAGTCAACTCACTCCCCAATCCCCCCAGACACGGCCAGGAAAATCTACGAGATAAAGCGGAGTCTTGTTCCCTTACTGTATGGGCCTGACGGAGGTCATCTACGGTACATTGAGGTGCCTCTACCAGATTTCCCCAGGTCTCGAATGTGAAGACACGCGGGGGGCGCCATCTGCTGATCACGGCACGTTTTGTCCAGTTGGTGTCTTTCTTAAGAAGAACGAGCTGGTCTCTCTTCCAGACCCTCGTCTCTTCGTTCAAACTAGGGCTGCCAGTTCTCCCTAGCTAACTTATCCTAGTGTTTGCCTTCATTATCGGCCTATTACTACCTATGTTAAGGTCTTAGGTCTACATTATTATTATCTGCAGTTGCCTCAATAATCCTAATATTAGTGTACTACCAGTAAAACTACCTACTCCTTCCCTGAAGGGTAAATCTATAAATTAAATAAGCTTACCAACAATCCACGCCAACTCGAGAGAATGCTTTGTTTTGGGTGGGGTATAAGGGCCACCGAACGGTGTGTTTTTCCCTGTTGGGACTTCTCAAACCAAATAAGTTCCAACAGTTGCCCAGTTTCAAGGGACGTTTTGAAGATTGTGGTTAGTGGCACACACACACTCTCTCCTCCCTCTGTAGGGACCCATGGAGAGATGTCCGGTTCCACCGCCTTTGAGGTATCAAGGTCACTTAACAGCTTCTTCACCTTCTCCTCGGTTGTGTGTATTTCATCCAACACTTGTTGGTGTACCCCTCTGTTTTGTCTTCCCAGTGTCCCTTCTGCCTCCACTGTAAATACTTCCTGAAATCTCGTGCTGAGCTCCTCACACACTTCTTGGTCGTTTCTTGTGAGCTCTCCACCTTCTTTCCTCAGCCTGATTACCTGGTCCTCGACTGTTGTCTTCCTCCTGATGTGGCTGTACAGCAGTTTCGGGTCAGACTTGACTTTTGATGCTATATTGTTTTTGTACTGCTACTGGGCCTCCCTCCTAATATGTGCATACTCATTTCTGGTTTGTCAACTAGTCTCTGTTTTCCTGGGTCCTTTGCCTTCTGTACTTTTTCCATTCTCTAGTGCACTTAGTTTTTGCCTCCCTACACATTCGGGTAAACCAAGGGTTCATTCTGGTCTTCCCATTATTTCTGTTACCCCTTGGAAACAAACCTTTCCTCTGCCTCCTAGCATTTTGTTAAGTAGTCCATCATTTTGCTTACTGATTTTCCTACCAACTCTCTCTCCAACTGAACCTCCTGCAGGAAGGTCCTCATACCTGTGTAGTCCCCTCTTTTAAAGTTTGGTTTTTCCCTTTCTACTCCTGTTTTCCTCTCCACTTGTTTTCAATCTCCCTATGGTTGAAGTCGCCCGTAACGATTAACTTTGCTCTACTCGAATGAGCTCTTCTTGCCACCTTAACTTGTGTGTCCACCATTGCTCTGTTGCACTCATCATATTCCTCTCTTGGCCTCCTGCAGTTCTGTTGTGGGTTATACATCACTGCAATGACTCTTACATTTCCGTGACTGTGCCTACTATGTAATCCCTTTCTCCAATCTCGTCCATTCCTTCCATTTCCTGATATCCCCATCGGTTTTTAATGAGAAGTGCAACCCTTCCTTCCCCTCTGCTCCTTCTATCCTTCCTCAGGATCTGATATCCAGGTGGGAAGATTGTATCTGCTATTGTCCCAGTGAGTTTTGTTTTTGTGACTGGGGACATCTCCTTGATTCTTTCATGTCACTCCTCACATTTATTCGTTATTCCATCTGCATTCATGTACCAAACCTTCAACTTTTCTATAATTGTGGTCCGGGAGAATGGTGAGCAGGTGCCCTGGTGGGGGCCTATAGGGCTTGTTGTGGGGGTGGGGTCTGTGGTGTGGGGACAGAGGGCCTATGAGGGATTACAGTAGGGGTGGGGGTTGTGGTGAGGGGGATGGGGGTAGAGGGTAAAGCGTGTGGGTTACTGTAGGGGTGGGGTTTGTGGTGAGGGGGATGGGGGCAGAGGGTACAGTGTGTGGGTTTTGGATTGGGTTGTTTGATTGCATTGGGGTTGCCATGGTTAAGTGTCTTCTGTGGGTGGTACTGGAGGAGGTTGTGTCTGTTCTTTCATCTGGGTCTGGTTTCTCCTGCTCCCCTCCTTCCTTGCCTCCCATTCCTCCTTGCGACATTGCACCCTCTCTTTCAATATCATCTTTTCTTCTCCAGTTCTGTCTCAGCCTGCCTTGAAAATCACTTTGACTGGACATTTCTTTTCCCTCTCGCAAACCACCCAATTCTCCAAAATTTTGTCAGCTGGGTCATGTCGTCTTCTCCTATTGCTTTCATGATGCTTTCAATAGTTATTTTTCCTCCTGTTTTCTTGCTTTGTAAGTTTCCCCTTCTACTTCTTGGAGCCAAAAGCTGCCCTCTCCCATTCGTCCTCCCACTTTACTTCCCTGAGCATCCTCCAAGACGAATTAGCTCCTGCCATTGATGCGTTTCTTCCTACTGTCTCTTCCCTATCCAGTCTCCCTGTGCTTAGCTGTTCCTTGACATGGCAGTTGTCTGTTAAAGCCTCT